ACACAGACACACACACACTCACACAGGCACACACACACAGACACACACAGACACACACACACTCACACACACACACACTCACACACACACACACACACACACAGACACACACACACACAGACACAGACACACACACAGAGACACACACGCACACACACACACAGAGTGACAAAGAAAGGATCAGACACACACATATTGAATCAATATATCTTTCTCGACAGCGCTGTACACACTGAGTCACACACAGTGAGCGAGATACAGGTAAAATGGATCAGGAGCTGGAGTGGGACAGGCCCCGGGGGAGTGGGACAGGCCCCGTGGGAGTGGGACAGGCCCCGGGGGAGTGGGACAGTGCCTGTGGGAGTGGGACAGGCCCCGGGGGATTAGGACAGTGCCTGTGGGAGGGGGACAGGCCCTGGGGGATTAGGACAGGCCCTGGGGGAGTGGGACAGGCCCTGGGGGAGTGGGACAGTGCCTGTCAGCGTTTCGGGTCGATACGGCGGCCCTGGCGAAGGGTTTCGGCCCGAAATGCTGACCTCCCCGGATGCTGCCTGGCCCTGCCGTGCTTTCCCGGCCCCGCTCCTACTGACCCTAGCTTCCAGCATCCGCAGCCTCCGGCCCTGGTGGGGCTGAATGGCCTCTTCCAGTGCCCGTAGGGGGTTCCATGGCCGCTTCCCTTGCCCTTCCGCCCTGGAAACAATCATGGAGGAGAGCCCGGCGAAGGGAATGATATCTACATAATTTATTTCGGGAGAGATAAAACTGCGTTTGTCTGCAGGAGTTTGTACATCGAGGGCCATGGAGCCATCAGGCCACCGTCTGCCTTTGCCATGGATGACACAGGCGGATAGTCCAATGCAATCAATAATATTTACAGCACAGTTCATTAGTCCTTGGTTTTGTGTCAGCTCTCGTCTTTCCTTACCACGGCATCGGAATCACCGTTGACGTTCATGGTGTCACCATTTTGGCTGCAGGGTCCATCCTGTAGGTCGAGCCAGACGCCCCTGAAGTGTTTTGTGGGCTCTCGGTAGGGAGGGTGAGGTAAGTGAGCGTCCACCTCCAGCACCGGAGGAGCGAGGAGGTGCAGGGAGGCGGGCCGGAGAGCCGGGAATCTCAGCGCCTCCTCCCTCATCGTCTGGAAGGCGGAGGGAGAGGCCCCGCCCCCCACCGGGCGGTACGGCCCCCAAGGCTGTGGTGGGTAGCGCCCAGGGACGGACCCCGCCCTTGGGGTGTCGAATTGGGCCCGGCAATCCGCCCCCTTGCCTGGGCCGAAAGGAGCCGGCGTCCGAACCTGTTCTGTCGCTGTGTCGGTCTGGCTCCTCGTGGCGATGCAGGCCGGGGGCGACCTCCTCCAGGAGGGTACCTGGGCCTCAGGGGGCCGGTGCGAGGGAGGGGGGCTGGAGGTATCCATCGGCTGCGGCGATAACTTCATGTAGGCCCCGGGCGAGGGGCAATGCACAGCTGCAGGCCAGACCAAAAACCGTCAGCAACAATTCCAGGCCTCGGTTCACCCAGCAAGGCCCCACAACACAACAGGGCCCAGCTCAAACCAACTCCCTGCTTCCCGCTTTCTTCCCGCTAACTCCAACACCACACCAGAAATTAGTCAGGGACTAGGCCACTCGGCTCGTTCTATTCCTGCTCCAGGCTAGCCTCGGGCCTACCAATCTGCCCGGTCCCTCGAATTTCCCCCAAGAGGCCGCACTGGGACACATGATCCCGTTCCCCTTGTGTGCCAGACATTGTCCCTCATTTCTCAATTTGAGGCCTAACTCAGGTCTGGAACTGTCCCTTTTATGACCCATTTCTCAACTGTCTTTTGTTTTGGGGGAGAGCTGGAGTCTTGCCAATGTCGCAAACTCTTGACTTCAGCCTCATTCCCAGAGCCAGAGCTCAACACACAGTTGACATATTTTAACATCCCATAGTTAACCCCCACCCCCAGGCCAGTGTTTGGCTAGAAACGTTATTGATTCCATCCTCGTTAGTTATGAGGCCAGTACTACACTTAATGGTGAGGCCTACAAGAGGGTCAAGGTAATGACCTACTCTGGAGAAATAGTGAGTCTGCAATTCTAGTTAATGATGAAGTCTAGATTTTAGCTCATGGTGAGGCCTATATTCTGGGTGAATGGTGAGTCCTAAATTCTGGGTGATTGGTGAGGTCTACATTCGGCGTGATTGGTGAGGCCTACATTCCGGGTGAATGGCGAGGTCTACATTCCAGGTGAATGGTGAGGCCTACATTCTGATTAATGGCGAGGCCTACATTCCGGGTGAATGGCGAGGCCTACGTTCTGGGTGAATGGTGGGGCCTACATTCTGGGTGAATGGCGAGGCCTACGTTCCGGGTGAATGGCGAGGCCTACATTCTGATTAATGGTGAATCCTACATTCCGGGTGAATGGCGAGGCCTACGTTCCGGGTGAATGGCGAGGCCTACATTCTGATTAATGGTGAATCCTATATTCTGGGTGAATGGCGAATCCTATATTCTGGGTGAATGGCGAGGCCTACATTCCGGGTGAATGGCG